TCCCCGGCATGGAGCTGGGCACAAGGGGGCTGGCACTCTGCTCTCTGAACCACCAGGGTTTTTCCCAGGACTTAATTTTCTTTATATCTAACTGACAAAAAAGCATCACCAAGTTCTGTACAGCCTCCCTGAAGGCATCCTTGTCTTGACGAGCATTTTGTTGCCAGGCTGTCACCTTCTCTCTCTGCCTCAGCCTGTTTTCTTCCATTTTGAGACAAGGAGAGCTCTTCCCCTGGCTCCAGGAGCAACTGGGTTTCCCACCTGGTTATGCCCACCTTTCTCCCTTGTTGGTGCTTTCCAAGCCCTCTCTTCCCTCCCAAGCAGTGCTTAGTTCTCCCTAGTTCTCCCATCTCTCCCTCTTTTTTTTTTTTTTTTTTCCTTTTCTCCCCACCTCTCCACTGCGGGCTCCTACTTGGCTTATACATTCAGTGCCTCCCTGCACAACTTGCTAACCCCATGAAAACCCCTGCCACATTCCCCAGGCAGAGCTGACCTTTTGGCACAGCCATACCAGTCTCATCATCTTCCAGGCTTCTCCAATTCATTGTTAAGATGGTGGGTAAAGTTGTTAGGGGAAGCGAGCAAGGCAGATATCACCTAGGGCAGTTCATATTACATGATCCAAAAGATTAACGAAAGAAGTTAAATTATTTTCAATATTAAGAGATACCCAACTTGTTATAGATTTAATTTTATAAGCAGCAGCAAAAGGATGAGTTTATTAACATCTCATTGACAACGCCTATTACAATTTGCATAAGAACCTGGAAATTTGTGAAGCATGATAAAAGGAAAGCCTTTAACTATCTTGTTTCTCACAGCCTACAAGTTGCAAAGTATGGAGGAAGCTGATAATGCTCTTTGAGTTCCTGAGTACTTCAATCAGCTTAAAAAAGTTATATGGCATTAGCAGACACCATTAATAAGCTCACTAACAGCTGGCTGAAAAGCTCAAGATAAACATCTACAAAATTGTTGAAGCATAAAATAACGTAGGAACGCCTGAAGACACAGCTGTTGACGAGGAGGAGTCCAGCACCTGAGGTTAGTCACTAGTAGCTTTGGGCACTGGGAGGATTTAGCTAGCTGTGTCTTCCAGTGGGGGAATACTGGGAATATACTTGATGAAATTTTGCAAGGAGTGGATAAAAGAGATACAGAAGTATTTATGGCTTCTACATACCACTGGTCACAAATTGTGTTTGGGTTCTTTACCACAATTGATGCAAACAAGTGATTAAATGAGCACCTCCCAACACTGACCAAAAAGGGGCTCCTAGGGTATATTGACACCTCTAACAATGTCACACAAACCCAATAACTAGGCCCAGACTCTCAGATCTCTTCCCCTAATACAAGATTTATTAACTTGTGCTGTATTTACTGGCATCCAACTACAGGGAGAAGACAGGTCTCCAGTTGCCTGTGAAAGTTTTCATCATCCTTAAGCACCAGGAAAGGAATTTCCAGATCCAATTAGCAAAGCCTCCACCCCTACAATCTGAGCAGTTGCACTATGATTAATCACTATCACATGAAGCATTCACCACCCTCCTGGTAAGAACAGGTTACTAAAAACCATTACGATTCTTATTAAGTATTACATTGCAATACATCTGGCAATGATGTTTCGTTCCTTTTTAACTAAACCACGTGTACATGCAGTAAAATGTAAAATACTTGTATATTTATCTGCATTTATCAGCTCTGCTTCCCCATGACCTACCAGTAAATAAATATTGCATCAGTGCCTGCACGTATTATATGCAACCTGACTCATCACATCACACATGGTATTCTTGCTAAATCTCCCTAAAACAGCAAATAACAAACAGCAGCATAAACAGCATTTTCACAACTGTTTCCTTTTTGGCTCTGAGCCTACTCTCACACTGCAATAGCTGCTGTACTAGAGAACTTGGTTAATGTTTGCACTTGCACAGCTCCTGGAAGACAAAGACACTCAAATAGTAGAAATTAATATTCACAAAAGAGCTGTCAGGGGAAAAGAAAAAAGTTTTCCCTAAGGTGCACTGTTACAATACAGTGTGTTTGACTGGCACTTCGTCTCCCTTCCCTTCACGGGGAGAAAGATGAGGTGCAAAATCTGTTTGTATTCCTGACTTTTCCCCATCGAATTAGAACATTGTTTCAACAGTCTGCTGCCCTTAAGGAAGCAACATAACCCAATAGATTTACATAGACGTGGTCTGGGTTATGCTGTTTTCCAGCACGATAGGCTGCAAAGTAAAAAGTAATGTCTTGCAGAGGGGCAGGGGGAGCGGGATATGACTAGAGACTTCTGAGGACTCAAAGGCATGTCTCGTGCCTGATCTCACAGGTGTGGGCTCATCCACAAGACCTTGCATGATGGACAAAAACTGAAATCTGACTCGGTGCTACCCAAAAAATTTCAAGAGACAGGGAAGGGTTGTAGCTTCAGTGGTCAGAGCACAGCTTTGAGATATTCAACAGTGAAAAAAGGCATTTTTCATCCTCAGTCTCCTGTTCTGGTACTGTACCAAGTAATGGCCGAGAAGATAACTAAGATCACTGCTCAACTGCAAACCAGGTGAGTAGGAAACTCCTAAATACACTGAGATCCTCAGATGAAGACAAGCCAGGGAAGTCCATGTACACCTCCAGCACTGGCTGAGCTCCGAGTGCAGCGTACACAAAGAGGTAGAAGAACAAAGACTGGGAGTCAAGGGGAAATCAAGTCCTTCTCCATCCCCTGGAACAGTGAAGTGTACACACGATAAGCCAAGAGAGCCTCTCCGTGTTGTAGTCACATGCTCCGTGGAAGCTGTAATCTCACAAGGACACAGATATGGCCATGCAAATATGGGTTATGCCTATGCTAACAGCTGGCCTATGTCCCTAGAGCTCCTAAAAGCCTTTTTTACTCTACCTGCCAATGTGTGTGAAAGCTTGTGCTGAAGAAGCTTCATTTTTCTTGTGCTCCTGCTAGCCAGAACACGCTACCCTTCAATACCCTGCCTTGAGAGGTGAGAGCATAAGCTGGCAACTTGTTGGTTTAAACCTCTGGAGGTGAAAAGGAGAGGAGCTGCCTGCCACACTGGGGACAGATGTTACGAGAGGCAGCAAACACAGCAAGAGGGCAGCTGGTAACAGGCACTGAGAAACCAGCTGCGTTTTCAACATCCCCTTCAACCAAATCACCTCCGACAAATCCTCACAAAAACCAGGCTGCAGGTAGCATAGGTACACTTACCTGGGCTATAACCACTGCTTCACTCTGCATAGCTTACCTGGTGTTAATACATAACATATTCTAAAATCCTAGTATAGGCTAAACAAGTTGTAACACACCTCAGATGGTCCATCAAACCTAACTGCAAAGCATTAGAAGGGAATTGTCTTTGCATCTGCTCAGCACCAGCCTGTGCAAAGCTTCTGCGTCAGAGAGCTGACAGCAAAATTTCAGATGAGGGCCAGACAGAAAGCAGATACAGGAGGGAAAATGCCACAAACATCTTAAGGGGAGGGCTTGTCTTAATGGATTTGTGTCACTGAATTCAACCATGTGTAAAGGCCAAACTTCCCTAAGACAGCCTGAACACAAGAACCTGTCTCTGTCTCCAGACGCAGCAATAGGTACTTCCCAAGGCTACTACGAGGATACTCCCTGCACCAGGGGTTTGGCTTGGCGGGTGCTCAGCACCACTGGCCACGTAGAGCAACACCTGACCCAAAGCATCCGAACTTTGGCCAAGAGCAGTGCCAGTTTCTCTGCACAGCCGTGCCTGGGGAGACCTCAGAGGGGAGGGGGGGGCGTGGTACAGCCCTCAGGACTCCCCCCGGTGCCAGAAGCGACCTGGCACAGGAGCACAGCTGAATCACAGCTGCAGCAATTACACTAATTGTCCAAGGGACAAAACAATTGCACTTGTCTGACTGGTCAGGGCATGATGGGAGCCCAACACATTTTTCTTTGTGAAAGCATTTTGCCTTGAAGTAAATTTCCAAAACAAAGTCCCTTTAACTGCAAGCCTTTCCAGACTTCTTCCTGGCAAGTGCAATTTATTGTTTCTAAAAAGAAGAGCTTTAAAAGAGACATTGCCCAGGAGAGAGAGATCTCGCTGCAGTTGGCTTTCACCACTGTCTGTGAAGGAGATAACCCTGAATTTCTATTACACTCTGATGGGAATTGAGGTCTCAACTCCAACCAGCTCCCTGAAAAGGACCTAGGGTGCAGTCCAAGGTCCCTTCTCCTGGTTGCACTTCTGTTCCCCATCAGATGGGACTGTCTCTGTTCCAGAGATCATCCCCGGCCCCATGTGAGCCAGGCTCTCTGGGCCTGCCCCGGGGCCGGCGCTTCCCTGCAGCACAGCTCAGCAGGTGCAGTGGGAGAGTGGGAGAAAGACCTGTCTTGAACTTGCTGATGCACAAGCCGTAGAGGAAAATTGTGATTGCTCACACCAGGAGCTGCACACCCACACTCACAGATAGCCAACGCGGCACACGGTGACTCAGAAAGAGCTGTACTTTGCACCACCTTCAGAGGCCAAAATAATCCAGACTGATGCACAGTTACAGGTGCTGGACTCGCTGCAGCACAAACCCAGCACCAGCCAAGAGCCCCAGACTCCACCAAGCTCCCACAGGTGCAGACAAAGTCACGCAAGAGGCCTTTCCCTCCCATCACCCACAGGAGCCACTGCCAGCACTGAACACCCTGACCCCTGCCAGCAAGGGGAAAATCCAGGGGTTGCTGCCCATTTCTTTAGAACCACAAATCAACAGCAAAACTGATGGGGAGAGGTGACTCTGCCCCCAGGGGCCATGGTGGTGTGGGGCTGGAGGGCCCCAGCAGTCTCCATGGTTGGTGGAACTCAGAACTGGTATCCAGGTGCCCCGGTCACCTCGGTACCCCTGGCACCTTTTGATCCAAACACAGCTGGGCAGCAGTTTTCCCTTCCCACCTGGCACGAGTGAGGCCCCGGGAAAGGAGAGGGGGTCTGTGTCCCATGGCAGATATGGGCTTTGAGGATGAAGTGGATGGAGCCAGGGCAAAGGATGGCAGCAGGGACAACACAGCTGGCCAGGTGAGCATGAGCAGGGAGACCAGCACGTAGCGAGAGCAAAGCAGAGCCTAGCTTCAATTTCACCGCTGAAATGTGGTTTGGAATCAAATTTGCAGAGAATTAATCTTCCAAGGGAGCAGAGCATGTCAGAGAGGAAAGGACTTCTCTTCCTACACACTTCAGCATGTTTTAAAAGGCAACATAAGCTGGTGTTTAAGTCAGTTATGTAAGTGTTGCTTTCCAAAAGATGAGTGGAGGAGTTACCTACAGAAATTTGACACAGGGAAAACAGCCATTGACCTTTGCAAGAGAAAACATCCCCCTCCCCAGACCAGGGAGGTGTGAGTTCAGTGGCTGAGGATTTTGTTTTGTTTTCAGTCTGGCTTTGCAGCAGGTCAGCCATGGTACCTTTGCCATCAATAAAAGCTGCAGATGGAGCCGTGGCATTACAATGAGCCCATTGTAACCACCTATTGCCACTTCACAAGTGACTGCCAGCCCCTATTTGTTTAACTCCATTAGGAACTAGTGGCCATTGTTCACCTTGTAATTTAGTAGAGGTAGGATTTCCAAAAGGGACTTCAAGTAGGCACCTAATTCTTATAGACTTTTAATTATAATTTAATATCTAGCTTCATTAAGCACCTCTGAAAACCCAATCTGAAACGATTTGGCAGGAAGCAAAGTGCTTTTAAGCCTTAGGACAGGGTTTGGCCTTGGCGGGTTTTTTTTAAGGAGAGGATGCAGGATTTGCACAACCTGGAAGACTAACCAATGGCTTTGGCAATTTGTAGACCCCAGAGAAGGATGTGGCTGAGGCAGCGAAGGAGGCAGCCGTTGCAACGGGCAGTGAGAGTGCTCCCCCCTGCAAGACCCCACTCATCTGCTGCGCAGACGGCCTTGATGAGGACACCTTTAAAATTGTAAGATACTGAATAGAATTTAGCAGTAGAAAAAGGCAGTGGCATCTCAGGTTCTTGAGACAGAGGGAGAAAATAAAACCCAGGAATTTGGCAGAGGGAGGAAAAAAGCAGGACAAGACACTGTTCTGTAGCTTTCTTCCATGTCTGAAAGTTTTCACCTCAAGGTTGTGTTCCAGTCACCTGGACATCACAGTTTTAGTTTAAAAAAAACACAAACCAAAACCAACATAACACAAACCCTCCCAACAAACCACAAAAAAGCCCCAAACAACAAAATAATCACATTTCACATACACTGTTTGGTTTTTCATAACACCTACTGCTACATGATCATTTCACATGATGCCACCTGCTCCCTAGCTACAGTGGTTTGGTTCCTCTGCATCACTCACACCACAGCCACAGAGCTCCATCTTGCACCAGGACACGACCTTCCCATTCCTGGGGTGTCATGGCATCACCAAACCAGCCCCCATCACAACCTGGGGCACATAACATTAAAAAAAAAAAAAAAAAAAAAAAAAATGCAGTGTTTGCTCCTGTGTAACGTGCAAACGTTTACAACACGTCCCAGGTTTGGCCACAGGAAGAAGCAGGCGTGAGAAAAGCAATAAGGTGCTTCCCTTTCTGCCTCCCTGCAGAACAACAGCTTTTCTGTAGCCTGCAATTTATACCTTTCCCCCCTACGATGTTAAAAAGAAATTCCCAGTCTCAGAAATCCCTCAGTTTCTTTTTCCTGTCACCAACATTGGGGCATGCAGGAGCACAGAGTCACCCACCAAAACACAACGGTCCTTCAGTGCTTTCCCAGGCAGCTATTTCATCAGTTTATTTAGTGAAAAGGAGTGCCTGAGACCTGGATTTCTAGTGCTGAACACCTATGCCAACACTTGTTCTTTACAGTGCAAGGAGCTTTTCAGACCCTTTAAGAAGTCACTTAAGAAACTGCAATCGCCCCAGCACCTCCCCAGGGAGAAACAACTGAAATACATGAAAGAAAGTTTGACCATAATTGGGGACCGCATCGACACGTTTCTCCAGCAGTACTGCAGAGCCTCGGAAGTCAAGCACTGGCAGAAGTAAGAATCTCCTCTTCCCCAGCACTAGCGAGGCTCCCAGCGTGATGGGCTCCCACCCTGCTGCTCCCAGGGGGCATTTACACCCCTACTTTGGCTCTACAGTTCCAGACACTAAATGAGATTGTATGTCAGCAGGAGACGTGTATAGCTTGCTCAAACTGCTGATTGCTCACAGATTTTGCAGGTAATTTTAGCAGAGGCCACGTGGCAGTAGTCCTGCCCAGCAGAAGGCCAGTTTCGATGTGCTGTCTGTCCATCAGCAACATCCCTTTGCAAGGAAAGGGGCTCCTACACGCCCACCTGCGTTAACAGACAGTCCTTCCCATACTGGGACAATGAGAATATTTTCCCATATTGTGAAAAAAGGACATTTTTCACAATGAGAGCGATCAGCCATTGGAATAATCTCCCCGGGGAAGGGGTGGATCCCCCAACATTGGATGCTTTTAAGATTCAGCTGGACAGGGTGCTAGGCCAGCTTGTCTAGACTGTGCTTTTGCAAGAAAGGTTGGGCCAGACGATCCATCAGGTCCCTTCCAACCTGGTGTTCTGTGATTCTATGACTTCTTTAAAAGTTTATAAGCTTTGGGGAGAAAAAAAAAAAAGAAAAAAAGAGAGGGGGGTCGGAGGGAGGAAAAAAAAGTTGTGCAAAGGGTATGTCAGTGGTTACATTCACCAAGCCAGAACTGGGGAGCAGAACAAGGAAGAGGATGAAGTTTGCACTCACATGCACAATCCATGTGTCTTTCTTTTCCCAAGGATGTTCTGGCAGTTCATCTCCCTCTTCTCCAAGATGGATGGAAAGCAGCTGCAGAAGCTGTATAAGTACATCAAGAACAACCAAATAGATAAGTTTGTGGTAAGCAAACAGCAAATTTCAAAGCTCTTCACTGATCTCATGTTTCCAGTTATGCTTTACAGACCAATTTTGACCCATAGTTTTATCTGATGATATAAAAGTTAAACTTTGAAACAAGCAACTAGTTCAGATAAAGCCTGTGCTTGCCAAAGCTCATTTCTGTGCCTGAGCATCAGCTACACGGGGAATCTGTAATGAACAGTTTCCCAAGAACAGTGACTCCGAAGGGTTAACTCATTTAAGCACACTCATAGCCAACCATAAACATATCTCCTGAGCAAAGGCTGAGTACACCAGGAAGTTCAAAGGTCCACAAGAAACACATACTTTAAGAAGTTTATTAAAAAGAAATCAAAACCAGATCTACAATTAAAAACAAAACAAAAAAAAAAAAGGGTCAACTAGGAAAGTGTTTTGAGTAAATCAGAAAACAGCAGCAGGCAAGACCTTGTTGGGTTACTGAGACACTGCTTGCTTCGTGTTAAAAAGGGAGCTGTGGTCATCTGATAGCTGCAGTGATAAAGCCATAAATAAGTTTGTGGCCGCAGGTAAACAGCTCTCTTCTCCAGCTAGAGAGAAGGGGAGAAGCTGGCCGCACAGTTTTTGCTTTTAGTTCACGGGGAAGCAAAACCATTTCTTTTATTTTTAAGGCTCTAAAAAGATATTCTAACAAAGAGGAAATCAAATCTATTGTTAAAAAAACCAAACAACAAACCCCAAATACAAATTCCGGTTGCTGGCATGAGACGCCCGAGATTAATTGGGAGGTATTAAAAAAGCAACTGGCAGCTCCGGGAAGCAGGCGGTGAGAGGCGTTCTTGCTCCCTCAAACTTGTGGGAATTGAGCTCCATTTCCAGCACGGCCCTTGTCAGAGGCTCAGCCAAGCCCAGGACACAACCTCAGTTAAGGACAAGTCCTGCTGCTCCCGCAGGGCACGTGGCTGAGGGCAGAGCCCTATTGCCACCTTGGAACAAGTATTAAAAAGCAAAAGAACCCCTCAAACACCTTCCCATCCTCTTGCTCCTCGAAATAAAAAACCACAACACTCAATCCCACATCTTTCTTTCCAAGGAGGGGGAATTAAAAAAAAAAAAAAAAAGGCAAAACCCCAAATGGTGGGTGATGAGCGTTAGTCACGCTGCGTCGTGTGCTGCTGTGGGGATGCACCGGGCACCAACCTGCAGGCAGCGCGAGCCCGCCGGCTACGGACCAGGCTGCCTCCGAAAAGGCCGGGAGAAGTGACAAATTCTGCCTTATGTAACGGTTGACAAATGCCTTTTGTTATGCAAGACAAGTGGGAGAAAAATAAGCATCTTTGCCCTTTGTGGGAAGGGAACAGCAGTCAGCTCCCTGCTAGAGCATAAACAACAGGCTGTGGATCTAGGGGTGGGGGGGAGCCGGCGCGTTCGGTGCAACAGAAATAGATCATTTGGAAATGCCTTGTTATTTAGATGAGTGAGCGTAAAAATACAGAATCAATATGTAATTAGTAAGTGATGGAGGCTGTCAGCATGGTAATTTGATAATTTTGTCAGTTTTGTTAAAGGAGAGAGGCTAGCGAGCTGCCGTCCGCTAGCCTTGCTCCTCAGTCATCTTAGAACCATGAATCTATGTCCCCTTCCCTCACGTTTGGAGTTTTAGGCTTTTTATTATTATTATTTAGAAAACCCCACAGCCACATTTGAATTTAAACGCTGGTCCCAACTCTCTGTTTTCAGACTTACTGAAAATACCAGACTAGACCCACTTCTCAGCTTCGAGCTAGAACACACCATCACTTCCCTTTGCGATCCGCTGCCTCCCGTACACTGCTGAGAGCTGTAGAAATCAGCCCCACCACTGAGTCCGTAAAGAAGCCTTCTAGGCTGAGGCTCTGGAAGTTGTTTTTTTTTTTTTTCTAAAACAAACAAACAAACAAAGAAACAAACAGCACGACCAGTGGCAACACAAAAATTATTTTCCCTGGGTTAGCCTAGAAGGATGCGCAGCGCGGCAGCCGCTATCCATCCCACCACCCTTGGGCTGTTCAGCGCAGGGACCCACCGCCACTCCCGGTGCACAGAGTGCTACAAAGCGACAGTGACATCCAGTGGCAGCACACCCCTCCACACACCCCACACCCCCCCAGACCCCGGGGCAGCGGGGCTGAGCAGCACCCACATCCCATCACACACACGTGAGCTCGAACGCAGCCACCAAACGATACCATCGGCTACTGACCATCTCCCCAAAGGGCCTGAAACACGTCATTCCTCTCACTAGTGTGCTGAGAAGGGTTCTGGCTTCAAAACACAGAGTTTTAGGTGTTTGGGTAGACTGGGCTGCATGAAGAGCTGGGCTGGGCTGGGTGTCAGCACACGGGAACAAGACAGAGCAGAGAAAACCCAGCTTAGCAGAGGCCAGCAGGACCTGTGGTGGGACGGGGCCTCGGATCCCAGCTGCGAGGAACAAACACTCCACAGGGCGAGGATCCCTGCAGATGGTACAGTCATTTCTCAGCTCATTGCTGCTGCCACCCAACAGGACCACGGTGAAGCAAGAGTTATTGCCCAAGCATGAGTCAGTGTGTGGTGTTTGCTCATATAAATATCTTTAAAAGTGTTTTTTCTTTTTTTTTTTTTTTTTTTAATCCTTCGGAAAAAACGGATTCAGTTCCAGAACTCGAAGAACAGAGACTGAAGCAGCTTTACATCAGCTGGGGTGTCTGCAGAGATACAAGAGACCTGCAGGAACACCCGGGTCAAAGAGACAGTCACCACCAACACGCCTCGAAAGCCACCGCCCGGCAGCGAGAATGACAGGTGAGAGGTACTCACACAGCCAGTGTCACATCAGCACCAAGCAGGAAAAAGCACCTTCCTGCTCACCTACACTTGACATTTTTTTGCTAAAGGATCAGCAGGTGAAGACATGATCAGTGGTGGGGCTGGAGGAGCTGGGCAGGTTGAACTGCTGTCTCAGAAGAGACATGGGAGTAGGAAAAACAGCCTCAAGAGATGCTCCTATAGCATAAGGCAGTAACAGGGAAGGAGAAGACATCCCTTTGTTAGCCCACGTCAGTTGGTGTTAATTAGTGTGTTTTACATAGCAATCTGGATGCTCAAAACATAGTTGTGGTTTGCCTTTGGGCCCACCCTAGCAAAGCCGCACACGCTTGGTCTTCCTGAACAAAAATGCAGACTAACCTGTAGCAGGCGTGTTTGCTCACCAGAGTCACCGACAGCCTGTTTACTCCTGCCAGAACTCTGGCATACACAAAGCCCAAAGGAGGAATGAAAAAGGGACACAAGAAGCAATCGCTGACGAGATCGGCTTTGCCACAACCAGGTGCCACAGCCTGCCTGCAGAAGGAGGACTTGTCCCACATAAGCCTATTTTCAAGCTGCTAAAATGCAATCACATGTCCTGTGGGAGTTCTCATGCACTCATAACCATCTTGCTTTTCATCTCTTTTCTCCCCAGTCTCTATTTACCTCTAAAAATGTCCAATCTGGTATATAACAGCTCTGGGGGTGCATTTAAAATCCAAATTGATAAACTAAAAGTCAAAAACCAAGAGCTAGCTAGACAGTGTGATCTGGGAGGCTGAGTAGGAGTCCCACACTAACCTGCCGGCTGTGAGGCTCCAGGCAATCCTCCTCCGCTTGTCTGCTCCCCTCTAAGAATGGGGAAAACACCACCCAACCAAATCCTTACGTAGATAAATGCACCAGAGACACAAAGCGTGTGAAATACTAAAAATTAGAGCAACTGAAAAGAACACAACAAGGCTTTGGGATTGACAGCTGCTTGAGAGCCCAAGTGGTGAGCCATCACGGGCAGCCTGGTGTTCCTCTAAATTTCTGGTGACAACGTATTTGAGGGATTGAATCATATGCAGAATCCACCCAGTAAAGCCCCCAGAGGACAGCTTGGGCACACCGGTATCAGCTCCTCTAGGACACACAGCCTCTCACAGGCGTTACCCCTTCCATTGACTTTGTGGGTTTTTTGTTTTTAAGGTTCCCAGACAACTTCAGAGGTCAACAGAAAGACAGAAACCAATTACTACAGTATCATCACCTGAACAAAAAAGCAGGGAATAAAGACAGTCTCCATGGTTTCCCGAAACCACAAAACGCTGAAATACTTGCAGCGTCATAGCAACAAGCTTCGACCCAAGTAAAATGAAAATTATGCTGTTTTCAACTTTGTGATCTTATTTATTATTGTCCTGGAGTTTCCCAACAGCTGTGCAAAAGCTTCAAGACTTCATCAAGGATGTGTAAGTATCAGACCTACCTCCACTACCTCATTCTTTTTGTATAAACCCCAACAATGGAAGAACATGTCTGTAAGGAAGCAGGCAGCTGCTCCTTCCCTTGCTGTGGCAGAAACCCTCTTCTGAGAAGAGCAGGGTTTGCTCCCCATTCATTTCTACCCAAACATAGGTGTGCACACACACAAACCCTCCACAGTCAGCAGCTGTTCACCCAGGGAGGAGGGAACGGAAGGGGAAGAGAGCAGTGTGCAGGAAATATTCTGGTTTAAAAAAAAAAAGTTTTCATGACTTTTACACATACACTTGTCATTTCTGACTGTTGTGGGCAAATAGTGGCCATAAGCCCGTACACAGCAGTGTTCCTGGCAGGTGCAGCAGCTGCCATCCATCGATCCAGACCGAGATGGCTGTAGCCCTCTGCTGCTGCAGGAGAAGACTCATCTGAGAGCCAATGCTTCAGGAGAGGAATAGTGAGAAAAGAGCAACAAAACGGGCTGGTTTGGGCTTCAGGGTTGGCTAGATTTGATGTAGGTGGAACCTAGGGTTTAAAAAAACATCAGAAACTTGAGTAGCTTGGTATGGAAATCTTTTAGTCTGACCAGTAAAAAAAACCCACCCAAAGATCCTTCCTTCCTACGTGCTAAAAATCCAACAGCTGGGTAGGGGGCTCAGGTACTATCTTCAGATCTGAACCCAAGCAAGAAAAATCCCTCCTTTGGAAGGGCAGATAACACAGGTCATTTTTAGAATCAAGACAACTGATTTCCTTTTTGAATGGCATCTTGGATCACATCCCCAGACCTTGGCAAGCGACTGCAGTCCTTGGCTGTGCTGCCTGCGGAGGCGCCGCTGCCAGGTGGCCACAGAAAATCGTTCAGGAGGGTTGTGACAGAGGGTGTCGCGTGTTGCCTTCACCGGGCAGCGCATTCGGCTCCTTGCACTGGGTTTCTCTGCACATAAGAGCAGACACACAGTTATACTGGGGGATGCTGACCTCTTGCGTGGTGCAGACCTGGTTCAGCAGCAAAACGGGAGGAATTTTCTTAGCATTTCTTTCAGCCAAAGGTTTTGAGTTTTCTCCACAGCACTCAGTGTATAAACCACATGTGGTATCGCATGCAGCTGCATCAGAAAAATACTGTCTGCCCTCAAAATGTCACACTTAAGACGAAACTGAGCAAGATTAAAGCCTGTTCAAGACTTGGATTATTCTTCATTTTTTCCAGTAAGACGTGAGGTGACTTAGAAGCGACAGGAAAGCTCTCAAGGAAAACTGAGCTCTGCCAGAAATAACCTCAGAGAGTTTCCTGACCAGACAATGTGAGCAAAGAAAGGCAAGAGAAAAGATTCCACCTTCGGAGGTCCCTGCTCTAAATGTACGATGAGAAAACATTCAGTATAAACTGCAGGATGCATCAGTGCCACTCGTGCAGCGTTACAGGGATTGCTTTTTCCTGCTGTTGAATTCTGGGAGCCGGCGGGCAGTGGTGCTACCACAGGAGACTTGCACAACTGCACGGCTCGTAGTGCTCGGTGTACGTTTCCTAACCAGGGCCGTTTCTCTTTTCCATTTAAACAGAGCATCAGGGAATTGACTGAAGCGTTGCACAACAGCGGCTTTGGCTGTTAAGGAAAGTAAGATTTCCATAAAGTGTCAATGTATAATTCAGAACCAAAGAATAATATTAAAAAAAAAAAAGACATAAACCCCCATTTCCCCCCCACAAAACCACAACCTGAGGAGATGCAAGCAGAAGCCGCTGTTGACAGCTAAGTTCAGGGCAGCAGAGTGCACATTTTGTGCCGTAGGAAGCAGAAACTTTGTTCAGCAGGAAACAAAAGATGTCAGGAATAAGCAGAACGTGTACTGCCCGCAGCAGTGACGCCTCGTGGCAGCTGGTGCCCTGGGACCAACACCCCCAGGAGAGGAGCTGTCCCCGTCAGAGAGGCACTTGACTTTCTGCCAGCCAGAAAGAGCCCCCTGAGCGTCAGGAAATATGAGGGAGCATTTCTCTTAATGCTTAACCCCCCCCAAACTCAGAAACAAACCAGCCTCCCCCCAGCAGCTCTCCTCAGGCCAGTTTTAGGGGAATTGTGGTTACGTTTTGTCAGCGTGAGGAAAAGCGTGATCCTTGCTGATGTCAGGGGTTTGGACTTTGCTCAGACTAACCAGGGGAAGAAAGTCATTACTGGGAGGCAGAGTTTACCCAGCCTGATGTGTTAACCCCCCTCAATCACCAACACAGCCTCATACCTCTGTTTTCAACACCAGGTTACATCCACGTGGGCAGGAACAGATTTTGGGTCGCTGCTGTGAATTCTTCCTTCATACCAGCTGAAGCAAATAAACTCTTCACTGAGTCTCCTGTTGTTGGTTTGTGCTTGGTAGTTTGGTTTCAGCACTCCCCAAACATCAACGTTTCCCTGGAGAGAAGAGAAAGCATTGAGAAAGTTGCAGGAACACACGCAGACGCCCGGGGACTTGCATCTTTCACCCATTTAAATTTGCACAGATCCAACGTATGGAGCTACACAACTGCAAAGGGCACTGCTGCAGCCCTGAGGACTTCAGCCTCACCACCTCTGGAGTCATCCTCATCTTGCAAGAGGTGAATCTGGCACAGAGACCTTACCTGGGCTCCTCAGGGCGAAGGAACCTTTGAGTAGCGCTCGTTTTTTTAACAGCTGGACAAGTGTTTGATGGCATTTTTGTCTTTGAAAACTGAAATCTCAGACCTGTGAAACGAGGAGAGGCCTCTGCCTGAGGCCCCCAGGCAGCTGGAGGGTTGTAGCTCAAACTCAAATGACTCAAATCCGATGGCTTAAAAATAAAAGCCCATAGAAACGCCCATTTCCAACCCCTCCTGTGCACTGGCAGCCACACGAGAGGCTTTTGGGCTGTGACTGTTCACTTGCACGACAGACTTTGTGTTCCTGTGGCTAGCTTAGGAGAAAAAAAAAGACCAACAAGAAGGGCAAGATGCACATCTCTTGCTCTCCCTCCTTCCCACCTTCCTTTTCCCCCACGTTTGATTTCTCTCTCTGTTCTCTCTACTCAGCATAACTCTTTTCTAACATCTTGCTCCCTGACTCTGGTTTTCCTGCACCCTGTCCCTGCAGGGCTTCTCCTTCCTTTTCTAGGGATTTTTCCATCTCTACCTCCACCAGGTCTTCTCACCCCTTTTTGACTTCCCAGCCCTTTTCAAACTCTAATGCCCCTCAGACCTCACATCCCTTTTCAGCATCTACTTTTTTGTGGCCCATATTTGCCCTCTGGCCTCTACTTCCCCTCCCACCCCTTTTCAGCCTCCACTTTTCCATGACCTCTACTTCCCTGCAGCCTCCTGTCATGTTTCAGCCTCCATTTCTTCCTGGCCTCCCACCCTGTTAAAGTAAAGGGTGGTGACAAAAGGGGGGGAGAGTAAAGAGTAATAAGGGGAAGTGAGTAAAGGGGGGGTGTAAGTAAATGGTGGTAAGGGGAGGGCGTGAGTAGAGGGAGTGCAAATAAACAGTGGAATGTAAGGGGGGGCAAGTAAAGGACAGGTGAGTAAAGAGTGGGGAGTAAGGGGGAGTGACTAAAGGCAGAGTAATTCTTAAGTACGGGGGGGTCTTAATCAAGGTGTGGTGTCAGAGGAGTATTTTAGGGGGAGTATTTGAGGGGTACTATTTTGGAGGAGCATTTCCGTGGGGACTGTTTCGGGGGGGAGTATTTCAGTGGAGCGTTTCAGGAGGATTATTTCAGAGGAAAGTATTTCAGGTGAGTGTTCCAAGGGAGTATTTTGGGGGGAGTATTGCAGGTGGGAGGTTTCAGGGGGAAGAGTATTTCTGGAGAGTAATTCAGGGGGAACTATTTCAGGGTGTAGTATTGCAGGTGAGTATTTTGGGGAGGAGTATTCCAGGTGGGAGATTTTCGGGGGGGTGGGAGTATTGGGGGGTGCTGTTTCAGAGGGGACTATTTCAGGGGTGACTGTTTTGAGGGAAAATAAGACAAGTTGGGGAAAAATCAGGTGAGTATGGAAGTTAGGGAACAAACCACACAAATTTGGGGAAAACCCAGAAAAATTATCGAAGTTCAGAATACTTGGGGCAACTGGAAAAAAAAAAAAAACTTAAAAGGGGGGGTAAGTAATTTCTGTATCAACTGGGGCAAGTAATCTCAGGAACCCAGATGGTTGCTGGGGGTTTACAATTTAAAGCTGAGCTTAGATTTTAAAACATTTGCGCCCCCCTTCCCAGGTACCTGACAGGCTCAGTCCGTGGCCGCTGCTGGTCACAACCACTATCTGTGACGATTTGCCCCTTAAAGCCGGGATTAACCACTTTGCTCGACGCCCAGGGGAGCAGCTGGGTGTTGAGGATCACAGCACCTGCCCAGAGGAACGAGGAGCCACCGGCCCCCCAGAGGCTGCCAACAGACCAGCTCCACCTTCCCGTCCAACCTCTCCACCCCTCAGGGTAAGGCGGGGCACGGGGCAGCGAGGGGGCAGGCATTTACCAACAGCCAAGTTTTAACCAAATTCAATGCAGATGCGTCAAAATGCGGGAACACTATATTTATTAGGTCAATATTTCATTTTAGCAATACAATTACAGAATATCACAATGCTGGTTACAAACATAGTATGGTTTGATGGTTACAAATAATGTCGGGCACTGCAGTCTGTGAGAAGGAGGATACGAAACGTTAGTCTTGACACGACAAGTAGGGTGGTCTGCAAAGTCTAGTAATGTTTAAGATACTCTCATATCAATGAATGTGGCACTACAGGTAGAGAATCTGGTTTAGAGGTGGGTTTTGTGTAAGTAGTTCGATTTATACAGTTATACAGTTCAAGCAACATCTTTTTTAAAATGCTATTAAATTAAAATCCCCTGTAGTTCAATAAAGTATAAAAATAGTACTGAACCTGGTAATATTCAATAAAATGTAGAGTTCATTCACATCATTAAGTAGTAAAGAAATTGTAAAGTTGTAGTTACCATGGCAACATCACTTCCCATAAAGGAATATACATAAAAGAAAAAAGTTACACATATGGTACCTGCGACAATTATTTAGCGATCCAACACTGAACTTGTGCACCACAAACCAAGTTTCTAAATATCTCTATATATTTATATAGTATATATCTTTTTCATCTTAAAATTTACTTCTGGAAAAAAAAAAAATGTGCACTTCAACAAACTCACTAAGGCCACTCATGCTATAGATACCTAGGATTGCAATGAAATATTGTTAAAACAAGACCCTAGAGCACGCACCTTTATATCACCAAAGGGAAAAAACCTGTTTCACTGCCTAAAACATTCCTGAGATGTAGGGACAAAAGCATTACCAGCGCCGCCAATTTTTTGTACGCAGTTTAATTTATTTCTAGGTAAAGGAGATTTCTTCCCCGCTTCTCACAGAAACCCTCGCGAGGCCAAGAGACACAACGTGCAACAGGCTGTGTCAAACGTGGAGACACTCACCACGGAGAGTCAGATTTGCAACCAACATTTGGCCAGTAATTTTCTTGTTACAAAAGGAAAAAAAGAAAAAAAAAAAAAAAAAAAAAGGGAAACAACGACCTTTAGCTAAAATAAAAGTTTTCTGCACAGGCAGCAGGGGGAAGGATCTCAGTTTAAAGACTGGATATAGCAACATCCCCCCCACCCGATTTGCTGCTAGCCTGCGAACTCAAATCCGACCCACACAAATCAAGTGAAGTTTTTGTCAATAGCTTCAATCACGTTTTAGGCACGATGCACTTTCCTTTTTGTACTCTACCAATACGTAGGACTATCGAAATCAAGTCAAACGCGCATTTTTTTTGTACCATGAGAAGCAGCGCAATGGCACCTTTAGCAAATTTCAGACTGCAGCACATTTAAAGGAAAAACTTCATTTTTAAAGTTACGAAAGAACATCGTTGTCCTAATAAGTTAGAATTCAACAACACAAACCCTTCAAAATTATTTAACAAAAACTGTGTGCAAAAAGAAAGAAAAAAAAAAAAAAGTCTTAACCAGAAGGTCTCGCTACAAGGAGCACACACGAGACAAGGACACCCAGGCAGACGCTTCCTGGGTGTCATTAATATCACACCATAAAAGTGACCAAACTACTGTTTGGGGCCAAAGAGTCATTAGTTGTTTTACTTCAAGCAGCTGAGGGATCTATTTATTTTCAAATCTCTTTCTGCAACTTGTCCCTTCCCCCTTTTGTCAGCTCAAAATCTTGGTGTACTTCTCCCCTAACGAGTCACGCCCAACAGCCCCGGTCCCAAGAACAGCAGAGGAATCCTGCCAACACCTTCCTCCCTCTTTACTCACTGCAGTGTTCACGTAAAATAGGACATAGAAATTACCGATTCAAACAACGTTCTGCTGAAAATAAAATATTAAAGGTTTAATTAAAAAAAAAAAAGTTAAAATAATTTTAAAGTGACCCTTGTCCTCACCACTGGCATCCAATTACTGCGGTGTGATTAAATGACTTACCTTCACAAAAACCTGGCAGATGCCTTCCTCTGGATTTCCACTCACGGGTCTCCCCCTCTAATGCCAGCACCCACCAGCACCCACTCAGTGAGTGGCGGGTGCATTGTGCCTCTATAAAACGCCAATAATTAATTAACTTCTCTCGGGTTTCACAGTTGGGTACCCGGGTCACGAGGGCCACGAGTCCTCCCGGCGCGCGAGGCCAAGGGACAGCCCCGTCCCCAGCACCCCCCTCCCCTGTGCCGGGGCGGGAGGGGACTCCCCGGCTCTGCCTCTCAGTGGGGACAGGGAGGTGCAGGGTCTGTGGGGGGCGAGTCCCACACCGGAAAACTGCAGAGAACACGTATGGAGAATGTAGGGGATGGCACCCGCTGCTCCTCTAACCCTGCCTGGTGCAGAAGTCACGGACTATCGAGTAATACTCCAAGATCTACTCCAGCCACAGCGGCACGGAGGGACAAGTCATTTACTTCCCTCTGAAGTCACCTGCGGGACTCCTCTGTCCTCAGAAATACCAACAAGCCGTACGAGCAGAGGCAGTAACAGCAGTTAACACCTAACACCACGTTGCAACTAGGCTCCAGCTGCCAACACGGGCACCTTCCAAGAGCTCAATCCCAGAGATGCAGAACCAAGAACTCAAAAGGTCAGGTTTATGTTATTAAACAGAGAGTAAGTACCACATCCACAGCAAGGACAGCGTTAGGGGAAGGCTCCCAGCTGGGGCATGCAGGCGGGCAGCAGTGTTCTGCAGGTGGCTGCGGAGTTGTTCAAACCTCCCCCGCTTTACCAGCCTCAGCCATCAGCCACAGCGTCCCTGTCCCCCAATTTACGTGCCGTGGCAGGGCTGGAGGCACAGGGATGCTCCAAGAAGCTCAACCCGATAGTCAAGTCAGGCTCTAATTCAGTCCCACGAGCAAGACATGAGCAGTCTCACCGGGAGTGTGGCAGCTACTCCTGGCCAAGTCACATTTCTTGACCTAAATCCATTATCCAAGAGAATTCTGGGTGACTTTTAGGACCTTAATCCCTTCCAGAGAAGCCAACGCACTGAAGTATTTAATGTGCTGGTGAAGCAGCTTTAGGAAAGAAAAGTACATCCATCCTGCAAGATTTGAGAAGCCACCGATTAAACAAGCTGAACGCCTGCATTTGGCTGTCAGACAGAAGCTGACGACTGCCTGACCTGCCCGAGCCAGAAGGCAAAGTGTGAAACACAGACACAAACCAGCGGTGGGTCACATAAACCACTAGCACTGGGATCAAAACCACTCCTCGTTCCAACCACAAAACCTCGAGACCTGTGAGATTCCTTAGGCAAAAGCTGGAACTGGAGACCCGAGACTGGAAACCCTGAGCAGATACACAAGCTCCAGACAATCTGAGTGTAACTCCACGTACCCAAGTTTGAAGCTTTTAAACGCTTCTGCAAATGACACAGCTTCTTCAGGATAAGTTGAAGCACACCTTCCCTGCCCAAATTCTGACACAAGCGTTACGTACTTCATTTAATTTTAAGTAGTTTTAACAGGCCTTAAGAAAAGAAGTCCTAAGAACTTTTAAATTCAACAGTGCCCCGCTGTATAGGCATTCAGGGATAAAAATGTTTTGCTTTGTAGATGGCTGAATTTGCTTGCAGTCATAAACAAAAATTGCTATAAATAAATTAGATTTTAAATCCACGCATAATGATAAGTTGGATTTTCAGTGAACAGCCGTCGAGGATATACTGCAGTCTAAATCTTAATGCCACAGGTTTTTTTTTTATGCAAATACTTCTTTTCACATCAATGAAGATATGCCAAGTATGCAATCATTAAACCTGCATTCGCTAATTACATAACCGCATTTCAAAGTTGGTATTATTCAACCTTTCCCCCAGAAATGTACTTGAAGGCACCAGTATATGAACTATTGGCCTGTAAAATTTCAGTTCTTGAAAGAGCCATTAAGCTCAAAGTTGTGTCTGAAATTTCTACTACTTCTCCGTACTCCTTGAAGACCAACAAGCAGCTTCCCCTGCCCTAAACTTCAAAGGCAGATTTAAAACCAGACCCCGAACCAAACATCCAGTCCAAGTCCCACAGAACCGTGCTCGCCGAGCCTCCGCTTGGACTGACCCTCCATGGCCAAGTTAAAGCCCTGAAAATAGGGGGGGAAAGGGAGAAACCCCCAAACTGACAGAATCCAAACACTCGGAGCACCGGCTGTGCCGCTATAAGAACTGAGGTAACAGCAGTGAGTTGTTCCTAGTTTGCTATGTTACACAGACTTTCCAATGAGTATTACTTCAACATTAAAAAAAAAAATCATCAAAAGCAAAAAACACCCAAACCAAAAACAAAAAATAAAATCACACAACCAAGCAGCCCCCCCCAACAGAAGAAAAATTAAGACAAGCTAGTGAGATAGGCATTATGAAAGGAGCTTTACAGCTGACTTCTGCTTTTTAAATTAATATAAAGGAATCAGTTTCTGGTTGTACTATTGTTTAATGTAGAAATGAAGCATCACAAAAAAAGACCTGTTGTGCTTTTTGGCATTTTCCGCTGACCCCTGCAAACTGTACAATAAGTTGTGTTCTCCAGAAACATAAAATTGAACTGGATTGTAATACAAAACTATTAACTGGTATAAACAAGTTACTGCCTCAATTATTAGAGTAAGCCCATTCAAAAAGGAAAAAAAAAAAAAAAAAAAAAAAAAAAAAAAGCGTTTCTAGTCTTCGCTTGTGGCATCGACATTAATAATTGTATAAGCTTACTAGGTAAAGACATGCCATCGCAACCGCTAAAGAACGTTCACTTCCTAGTTTTGTATCTATTACATGAATATAATTTTGCACTGATCATACATCTAAATGAAATAATTCTACTGTAAAAGTGAATGCAGGGGCAGAAATATTAAATTAAAGCCACTGGTCCAAAAACTGTTTCTAGCAGGCTGGTCCACTTGTGGTTTTCCTGGTCCTGTTCAGATCAGCACTCTCGGTCGGTACCCAAGAGCGCTAAGGCTGCTGGTCTACTGGTCTTCTATCGCTTACAGACGAACACTGGTCCAGTTCAGGGTATTAACAACAACAACAACAACCTGTCGTGGTTCTCACAGGGTATGTTGCTCTCCAAAGTGGTTCTTTGCCACTTTTCTCCGTAAGGCAGCAGCCAAGGCTAGGGCATCCTCCCTTTTCTTGATCGTTACGATTAGCTTTGCTACAATGCATACAGTAGAGCGACCTTCCCCGTGTAACTTCTTATAGTACAGCACTTATTCTTCTATAGATCAGAAGAAAGCTCTTGGTGAAACCTTCCATTCATAATAAGAATGCAACTCTTTTGAACTCAAACAGTTTTATTTAAGGTTTTCTTGCAGACTTTCTGCAAAGTAGCTTCTTTCGAAAGAAGACAGAAGGGATTTTTCGGGAATATCGTTAAAAATGTGAGCCGAACTAAACATGCCATACACATGCTGATAAGAATTTAACACACATTCATCCGTATGGGCACTCTTCAGTAGACTGGACCAGTGTTTCAATGCAAATTCCAGCCCCCAGAGAACTACATGGTTTAGATTTCACAGTATGACTTTTCCCCCTGTAACCTGGGGGAAAAAACCGTAACTGGTTAATTGACCAAGTTCTTAGCTACTCTGTCCATCAATGTTCTGAGACATCAGAAAAGACTGGACCACTTCTTCAGTGGATTGAGGGCTGGTGCTTACGTCCTCCAGAGCATCTGTAACTGAGAACTGCCGATCCCGCAACCGGTTCCAATTGGCCAAAATATTGTGGTATTCAAAAACTTTCTCGTAATTGCCAATGGAATTGTACAGTTTAATGAGACCTCTGTAATCGTACTCAAGTCCACTGTATCCTTCGCCAAAAAGCTTCTTTCCTAAAGGAAATCCAAAAGAAAACAAAATTAAAAGGCAATCCACGCAGATCTTGCATCTTATTTCTCTTGCCATTTTTACCAACGACAGGAACCTTTTGGTTACGGCAAATTGCCACATTTTTGTTAAGTAAATCAAGAACATGAGCAATACACAAGCTTCCTGGATGATGGTTTGAATTCTACCTACCTTCTGCTTTAAGGGTAACTTTAACTTGTCCTCAGGGACTCCACAATTAGATCACTGATTCTACTATAGCTGTACACACGCAAAAAGTCACCAGTCGTATGAAAAGACAACTATTTTGCTTCCCAAATTGGATTTAAACAGCGACGCTTTTTCACTTTTCTACTTCAAAAAAAGTTTTTCTGTAACGCACTGTACATAACTGAATCAAGTAAGATCATCTGTCTCAGAACTGAGCTACAGCACGGCCCAAAGACGCATTTGATTTGGAACTGTAAGTTCACTGCAAATGATAATAGGGCAAGAAAAATATTTAACGAGAGCACTGTCAGGCTGACAGGCACAATTGTTTTCTATTCCTTCCAAAATTTAAGTACATTCCGTACTTAAGTTCAAGCCACAACTCCAAAAATGTAATCTAAAGACTAACGCCCAAGCTTTTAATGAGCCAGTTTCCAGATGGTTTCAAGCGTGAATTCTGATGGATCCCTGAAAATAATACAATTCCACAATTCAGTCCCTTGGAGCACATTCAAGAAAAAGCATTATATTTAAATTGAAACCACATACACAATAAACATCTTGCATTTCATTAAATTCTTCACTAAAAACTTTAATGCGCTTTTTAATAACAGCGGTATTAACGCTGCTACGGAGCCACACGTTGTAAGAATCACCTACCAATTGCTATGGATCTCAAATAAAGCTTTTCAGCATTTTCATATTGATTCATATCATAATTATAGAGAGAAGCTAGATGACCCACTGACAGGGCAACTTCATAATCTTCTTGACCTAGAAGCTGCTCCTTAATCTGAATTGCCTTGATGTGCATTTCTTCTGCTTCCTGTGAGGATCAAATTCACAGAGGTCAGTCAGACAACAACACTCACCATGGCATAAAAAAAGGAAATAAAGGGACATAATTCAGAAGAAATAAAGAAACTAGAGGAAATAACAAATCAGGAAAGAAATAAAGAGGAAACAAAGAAACATAGTTATGTAATGGCTAAATAGCCTGTAGTATTTTATAAAAGAGGCAAAAAGAAAGCCAAAACCAAATCAAGTCCTCCAAATCCTTAAGTTAAGCAGATCAGCAATCAGTATCATTTTTTCTGGCATTAAAACTGCTGTCATCTTGTCTCTGAAGGCATCACACATCTTAACGGATTATTTTTGGGCAGAACTTGAGATATGAATTATGAAGTGCCATAAAACCACTGACTGAATTTACGAATTATGTTTACTGAAAATCATCATTTGTTGTGACAGATTTCTGGATGCCCTGAACACTTTAAATCGAGACCTTTACATCAATATAATCTTACCTTAAACTTTCTCATGGACTGATACAGTCTCCCCAGGTTGCCATAGTGTTTTGCTGTCTGTACATTAAACTCCCCGAAGGCTTTTTTAGCTAACTGGAGCGAGGACAGGTGTAAGTCATGAGCTTCTTGAAGTAACCTCTGCTCAGTCTCCTTGTTGTGACAGTCTATCGCAATCTCCTCCAGGATAAGTGCTGAGAGCAGGAGAGAAAAACCAGCGTTACTGTGTTCCAGAGAGAGGTGTCAGCTGTAGGCAGCAGGAGGCATCGAGGCAGGACATCTCATCAGGCTTTGTGGTTATTACATGGGTACGGCCAGAATCAAGCTCCCAATATAATTTTTATATTCTGTATTTTTACTGCTTCCCCCTTCCCCCCCAAAAAGTGTCTTTCCAGCTGAATTTTAGGGTTTTTTTTGGTTTTTTTTGTTTTTTGTATTTTACAAGCATGTCGACAGAGAACACTGAGGACAACGAATATTCTGGAGTGATCTCCATTTGAAAAAAACAACTCAAGTTTCATTGCCTCTGTTAGGGCACAGGATAAAGGTCTGAATGACCGATTTCAAGCTGTGCCAGTAACGCAGTTAAGGTTCTACCTTTAACTCTCTTTGAAGATGCCAAGAGGAGATGGTCTTCTGGGAGAATGTGAGTTATAATGCCAATAGCACGTTCAGCGTGGAATCTGGAGTTCAAATTAAAAAAAATTCAAGATACAGATACTTAAGTTAGCAGCTGACTGACAAAATGTTGGCAACATTAATGCAGTAAACAGATGTGTTTAAATTCTAATTGGACAGTCTGTATCACTGAACAGCATTTTTCTCCATTTACAGTCCAACTTTTGCTGCCAGTACCTCAAACAATTGTACTCACAGTGCATTGTCGAATTTTCCAGAGCTGTACTGGTGAACGTATGAGGAGTACGCCAAGTCCTCATGAGCTGTAGCTACATGTATGTTTTTCCCTCCAAATACTGACTGCCGGATATCAAGAGCTGTCTGAAAGAGTTATGAGAATACCATATCATCAGTTAACACAGAAAAAAACCCTAAGGAACCTCCCTCACTGGTAAAAAGGGGGAAAAAAAAAAAAAAAAAAGTAAATCAACTGGGTCTGAAATTCTGAAGGCCTCTACCTACATACTTGAGGCAGTAAATATAAAAGCCACTTAAGAGTCAGGGGGAAGAAAAAACTAGCAGGGTTGGTTTTGGTTTGTTTGTTTTTAGAACAAGCATTGCAGTAATTAAATCAACTATTATCAATCTCTGCCAATTAACTGTAAGAGCTTCAGTATTAAGATCAGACTATCACGAGGAAGTGAAGACAGACACTGAGCCCTGCCACATACCTGGTAGATGGCGACAGACTGGCATATGTTGTCTACGTTGAGCAAGTAAAATCCATAATCTAGTAGCGTGTCAGAGTATTTGGGGTGTTTGGCTCCAAAATGCTCCCTGGAGAAACATACTTATATTACAAAATTGAGGCAAGTTAAGCAGAACTGTAAAAGGGGTTTTTTTGGAATGCTACTTACCGGGCAAGGTATACTGCATGTTTTATCAGCTGTTCAGCCTTCTTAAATTCCCGTTTTACAACACAAGCCTAAACAGGTCAAAATGAAGCTTGTGAAAAGGTGTATACTCAGAAGTCATCTCCTTCAGATACCGGCCCAACTGCCAACTACTGGTTTTAGTTTCAAAATATCACCACGGTTGCTAAAGGACTTCTCAGTTATTTAAGAAAAGGTTCACAGGTAACATTATTAAACCTGTATTTATTCTGCTGTGAATGCCTCCAGGGCTAGTACTGAGTCTAGATGGAACCTTTTCACAGAATGCTCCCAGGTTTACTTTGTCATGATCTCCACTGGAACAGCTGTAACTCTATTTCAGGAAGAAGGAAAAAACCAAACTCCTCACAGGTCCGAGACTAAGGTGGACAACTTAAACACAAGTCACAAGCCGTGAGGCTCATGAAACGGACCTGGTTACCCAAGTACTCTGGAGGTACTACCCATGCTCACCCACTCTTGGTAGCAATGTAGTTACAAAAGAAACATGGAAGATTTTAAATTCACCTTTGAAGCTTGTCGTAAAACATCCACTACTACTTTTACAGGCAGGCCAACTGTGATCTCCTTCATAGCTTCTATACACCATTTATAAGCCTGTTGAACAAAGTTACCAACAGAATGAAGCTGGAACTTCACCACGTTGCAATGTTAAGAAATCTATTACTTGCTTCTGAAAAATAAACTGGTCATTTACATTACAAAATTTTAAAAGTTCTATTTAATTGCTTATGTGTAATAAAACTTGTTCAGCTAAGTCTTAAGGCAGACCTGAAAGCCATCTTAAGATTAATAGTGAATGTGCAAGTATTTTATGCTAGCCTAAGTTCTGTATTATTACAACAACTGTATTATCTTTTACAGACAAAAGAGGGAGGTTTAATCTTCAAGTAATCCTCATAATTCCTGTTGCGTAGGGCAGCTTCCTGGTCAGTGTACTTAGGAGCTAAAGCAAAACCACAGTTTATACAGCAGTTACACTTAAGCTACTGTTTTTTATAAAATAAGTGCAAAGAATTGCTACCTACGTTCCGCTATTCATTTTTACTTATGCCAGTAAGCTTTTTATAATATTTCCTTTACAGATTGGTAGTACATGTTGGCTCCCTATCACACATCACTTCTTAACCTCGGTCAAAGTACCATTAAGAGCTCACAGACTAACTCAGAACAACCCACAGAAAGAAAAGTCAATAAATCAAGTATTGCCTCCGGTACCGTCACAGGGTACCAAAAGAGATCAGAACTAGAGCTAGAAAGAGAACACGAGTAATGAGCCAGTCATGAAACGTCCTAGCAGATTTCATAAGCAGTTTTCTGAAGAAAAACAAACCCCAAATCCCACTCACCTCATCATAGTGGCTCTTGGCAAAGAGCAGTGCACACAGCTCCCCGTAGAGCGCCGCTTTGTTCGCTTGCTGACCGTGCTTTGCCAGTTTGTCCATGTAAGACTGAGCGAGTTTGAATGTTTCTTCTCCCAAGTGATATTTACAGTTCCCGTTTCGAACGTGCAGCAACCTTAGGAAGATGTAAAGAGATCTTCTAAATGGTGCCCGAATAAACCAGTTGAATATACACCACAGATCTGCAGTTCGGTATTACGCTTACAAGAGAACTGGGCTGTCATCCCAACAAAATTGCTCTGTCTGGGTTCAGTAATACAGAAGAACTATTTACAGATTATTGTTTCAGTACATCACGCTTTGTCTCTTGCACAGCGAGAGGTTTTACCGTTGGAGATGGCAAATGATTTTACATATTGATGCAGTTTGACATATCCAATGTTTCAACCACTTTGGATTTTATGAAAAATAAACCACAAAGCCACCACACCATTCTTCTCAACACTGATAAAATTCCATTCCCACACCCCTGTAATATACAGTATTAAATACCTTCTACCTCCTTTCCAAGGGACCGTAACCTGAATGAGCACAGAGCTAGTTTTCATGCACCTCTGCACTTTTTCCCCCTCAAACCTTAAGCAGCAGAGTGCTCCACAAGTGGACAGTTTTTGTTCTGGGGGTTTAGGGGGGTGTCTTCACAAGAGAATCAATCCCATCCGTTCGATGTGATATCCAGCAGTGACTGTTCTGTTGACCCAGTTCACAACAACTCTAAAAAAAACCCCTCTCCCCCCGCCTTGCCCCACCTCCTAACTCGCTGCTTTTCCATCTGAAGGATTAACAGAAGCTTCGTGAAACAACAGCCGAACGCAGACAAAGCACAGCACTATTGAAACACGCTCTTGTTTCTCTAGAGAAGTAACAATTTCAGCTTCTGGCAGTTATTTAAAACAAAAGTAAAGATTTTTTTTTTTTCGTTGGTGTAGGCTGATGCTTATTTACTTTAAAAAGATAGATTAGAAATGTGTGTGTTATCATCTTCCAAGCCTAAAGGGCAGAACTGTATTCCCAGCTATTGCAGGCTAAGGAGAGACAGCTGTTCCTGCTCTCTTGTGAAGGCCTGCCATTTAGCACACATGAAATTTTGGTAAATTAACCTCCATTGTGTCCCTCCTGGAAATCTGTTATTAGACAGCGAGTAAGAGATTGAAAAACACCAGGCAAGCCTCTGCCCATCAAGAGGACGACATAACCCAGGCAGAGAAGTGTATAAAGCGAAGCGCAGCACAATGTAACGAAAGAGGCTGAAACTCTTGAAAACATGAGCTAACGTAAAGCACTTCATACTGTTTACAACACAGCATCACAGACCTTCCAATAAACTGTTAACGGGGAGGAAGGAACAGTGAGCGTTTTGATCAAATGCTTCTCTTCTCTAAACCTGTTTCCTGTTACTGCTTACTCAGAGTAGAGATTTAAGTTCCTGTAGCCATTTGCTCCTCCAACAATATGTCTGAGGTTGCCCTCTAAATTCAGCCTGCCTCTAACACAGCTCATTCCTATGCTTTCCTGTTGAAATGGATCAAACTCAACTACTAACAAGAAAGGAAATAAAAGTTCGCATTTTCACAAGAAGGGAGCGGCAGGCGAGCACGCAGCAGATGTGTATTAGCCACGCAAAGGGAACATCAAAAGAAAAGACCTTCAAAACCCTGAAACAAGCTACATAAACAAACACCAGCTTTCCAAAGAGAAGCACAGCCACATGGCTCAAGAACAGAAAGAAAAGAGCAACAACCATATTTTTCCTTAAATAAGGTCTGAGAACTAAACATGATGTATAAGTGCATTGTGTTCTTGGTCACAGGCAGCAGCAAACTGTAACATTCAAGCAGGAAGAGACAGGAATTTTAAAGAAACCAGAGAGAAGCGCTAAGCAATTACATTTTTCCTGAAGAGGGAAACTATTTTGCCTACGCCATACACTGGGAGCTGCTACACGACATCAAAAATACGAAGCCCAAATCCCATGGAACAGTATCAGCCAGTGGGGATGGTACTGCAATTTAGATAAGCGCCTGGGGAAGAGAATATCCACTATCTGGATGCTTCAGTGATAGTGTCTAAAACCAAAGAAATCAACCAAAAAACCAAGCTAAACCTAGAGGATTGGGTTAGAATAAGCGGAGTTTACGTGATTCAGTTTTGAGTAACAAAAAAATCCTTTATTAATCCAAAGGAATTTTAGAAGATAAAGCCAAGAGGAAGAAAAAAAGCCTTAGGACATTTATGCTAATAGCCATGCGTCCTCTTTGATGTCTGCAATAATAGCTTTTGGAGAATGGCTCTCCTCACACCCCCCCAGCCAAAATCATTGTCTAAGAGCATACAAACATAGCAAACAGTGTTACAGCAGCTTAGGAAGTCTAAAAACATCAGAAAAAAAACCCCAAGAACCAGCAAAATGTGAAACACTGAAGGGGGAGATCCATGTATTTGTATCTTACGTTAAATAAGGCACAAATACATAATGAAAGCAAACCAGGAGAACACCACATGCAGAAAAGTAGTATACACGCTTGCAGAAATCACAAATCTTCCCATTTTCTCAAGTTCCTCCGTATAATTTACTATCACTAGTAAGAAGAAACACCAAATTGTGTTTAAATAACACAAAACTTGACGTTTTTAAACTGCATTCTACTAATAATGCCATGTATTAAACTCCCAGAGATTTGACTTTCTAGCTTGTAGAATAAGATCAGTCACTTTTTAAGCGTATGTCGTATTTTCAAAAGCTGGACTTAAATTTCTTTATCTTAAAACTGCTCCTGAGCCCAGTGCAAGCCCAGTGGTAAGAACAAGCTACTCAGCAGTAGGGATCAGACGGTAACAAGGAAAAGTTCCTCTTTCTGCCTCATGCCTTCGAAGCAAGTGTAATCACCGCTCTCTCCCACAAAAAGGATGTTCAGATTTTACCCACTTAGCACTTCGGAAAGTGTTTCAAATGCTTTCTGATGCATTTCCAAAGAAATGATGCTGTTACTTCCTTGTCTGGGAGATGCCTGAACATGAAGCAGTGTCTCCCCCTTCGGTGCTGCCCAGAGGGACCTCATGTTACCCGCAGGCCACCAACTCTTCCTGCAGAGCCACCGCTGCGTCTACCCAAACCGAATTAACACCTCCAGTTCAGAAGAGTTCATTCTAACACAGGATGTGGGGGTTTTTTTAGCATAAAATTAAATTTTTTCTACAACTACATGGACTGCACGCTGTAGTCCAACAGAGTGATTTAACTTTTTTCCCCCCCTTACTTTACCTTCTTTTTTCTATTTGGAGAAGGAAAGGGAGTTTATTTTTAAGGCAATTTAAAACTCCAGCTTGCCAAACAGCCCAATACAACCAGGAAACTTTTTTTAGATTAACTGGAAGGCAGAAGACCAAGTACTACCAATGGTAAAACATTCATCATTCCCCAGTTCTAGGAAGGTGTGTGTGTGTGTGCCCAGTCTTCTCCTGGCACAACGTCTTTTCTGGAACGAAAGGCAGCAGTAGCTGGCAGGGCAGAACCAGGCAGAGCAGCGACCGTTGCCATGGCCCCCTGCTCAGCACAGAAAATAAGCAGCTACTGGCAAAGCCTATTTACTCTTCATATTTGTCCAACCATAAATAAGATGCAGGGGTTTTTTTGAGAATTTTTCCAAAACAAGTTTTGCCCTATGTTCAGATAAATACAGTCCGTATTTTTTTTTTCATTACAGCAGCTAAAAAGAAAAAAAAATCCTATTTTAACTACACTCACTAGTACAGATATTTGAGTGCATACCTACAGCGACACAACAGAGGTCAGTCATGGCACCACCAACAAAAACAACACATCCAGGTACACAGATGTAAGAGCAGAGCAACCCAAAACTAAAAGCAATCACCTCTGAGGCCTCTGTGAACAGAATGTGAATCTCAAAGGACCCCACTACAAGCCCTGACAAACAAAGCAGGTACAAACCCCAAATGCCTCCTAAAATCAAAACTTCTTTTCCAAATGTTTAAGCTGTGGCTGAAAGTATCCGTAAAAATTGGACATTTGGATATTTACCTAATCACATGGTTAAATACCTGAGCACAGAGCAAGAAAACTCATCGGATCTAGAATCAGGAAAGGGGTTTTCCTTTTATTTCTACTCAACTGGATTTATAACATTTGTAGTTGGATTTGGGAAATTCTTCTTGCAGTAAATATAATTTCAGTGAACACCAACACACAGCATTCCTTGGCATGCAAAACCCCTTGAAAACAACAAGATGCTGGACCCCTCTTACTGTGCAGCACCTGTTCCCTGTGATATATTATGCACAAAGGCAAAATGGTGGTTTTTTTCCCCCAATGAATTGTGCTGCTAATTTACAAGTTGAAAACCCAGAGATTAGTGTAAAGCAAACACCTCCTGATGTTCAACTCTAGCCAGGAAAGTGTTTTGGTGCAGCAGAACACTAAAGGAGCATCTGAAGCTTGATGGCTCCAAGGCAGTTGGTAACATTCAGGTGGTTTCAGAGGAGGACATGCAAGAATTAAGGGGAGCTCACCTTACACAACATTCTACGGCACGAAACCAGTGAAGGATTTCATCGTGAAGGGTGCATAACTGAAGGCAGGAAAGAAATACCTTCTCAGCATCACTGTACCAGCCCGCATCTGATAGGAAGCCACCTGGGAAAAAAAAAAATAAAATCAAGAACAAATGGAAATTTGAACAGCAAAACACCTTTTTAAGAGAAAAAGAGTTTACTCAAGTCTTGTAAGAAGACTACTTATTTCACAGAACTGCATACTACACACGGGAATCCTGTCAAGGTTAAACCCTCCAGTCCTGAAGTGAAAAGGGTGAGATACAAGAGTAGAACTTCCCTTCAGCTGAGGATGACTTTTTGGTATTGCATAGTTTTCTTACAGTTTTCTGTCAAGAAATACTTACCAATACTAAAATTACTCAAAGCCTCAATGTTAACCATCACATCTGCTAACTTTTAAAATCAAAACCATCTGAAATAGCAAAGATAAGCCTCTACATTCTTAGATATTAAAATCCAATATATTTTTCTTAAGACACCAAGTAGTTTTCTAAAAATTACATTCTGAAAACACACGTTCTTTAAAAAGAAATCATAGAGCTTAACAGGAAAAGAACCACTAGTGTTGGCTTAGCTGAAGCTTGCATGAAAGAAAGTATCATACTTTAAACAGCCTATCATCACCAGTTACCTAAAACAAAACCAATCTGGATTGCTTTTTCTTTTACAGCAGAATCGGATTCTGCTATGTAGGAGCACCGTCTACTGAAAGAATAGGCCAGTACAGAAGCAACTTTTACTCCATGGTCCATCAAAGCCTGAAAACAGTGATGAAGCAGATGTCTGAAACAAAAGAAAACAGGATTTGATTACACATGAAGTTTTTAAAACACTGCAGTCAGTTGGCTCTTGAGCGCCGTGAATTCAAACGAGCAGTGATTCAGAGAAGTAACTCCAACCCTCTCTCAGACCAAAAACCAGAAAAGTACAGGCATAATTGTCAATCTCAAGGCTAATGGATTATAGTCGTCGGATTATCCAACAAATAATGTGAGCAAAATTCTTAACAAGGACACCCTCGAGTGTATGCAAAACACAAGCTACCTACACAACATGAAAAGTGGAAAAATTACATTTTCAGCTAAAATTTAAGAGGGGAGGGAAGTCTCAAATCCACCCTCAGCCCACAACTCCCACAGAAATTGCAGATAAATGAGCAGTGACGAACCCATTAACATCTCACACACACACACGATGGGAGGGAGGTATGTCTAAAGACTCAAAGCTTATTCCGGTTAAAGAATCTGATCTAAAAAAAAGACAACTTCTGAGTGTAACACCACAAATGGGATTATTTAATGACAGGAAAGCTTTTTAAACTGGGGACATCTATCAGCTTGATAACCCTTCACTTAGGATTTGCTACAACAGCAAATAACAGATCCTCCGACTGCTGCTCAGGGACTGGCTGGGCATCGATCTCTTGGTGGTGAGCAATTGGGGTTTTATGTATCACTTGTTTTTCTTCTTCATGCTTTTCCTCCCTTTCTCTCCTTGTTGTTGTCTTTTTCCTCTTTTTTTTTTTTTTAATTACTAAATTGTCTTTATGTCAGTCTACAAGTTTCCACACGTTTACCCTTCCAGTTCTCTCCCCCAGCCCCCTGGGCAGGTGGGTGAGCGAGTGGCTGTGTGGTGCTTCGCTGCCTGCTGGGGTTAAACCACGGCAAAGGGGAAACAAAAAAGCACTTTGGGAGCCAATTTTTGTGTTGTTGGTTTTGGGTTTTTTTGGTGCATGTACACGCAAGTTCCGATGGCTTTATTTTTTTGAGACAAAGACACATCTAACTCCTTAAAAGTTCATCTGTAAACCTAATGAGATATTCTTACGGTTCTGAGATGGGCTAGTAAGACCAAGAAAATAAGAGACAATTTCCAAATTCAAAACCTGGGTCAAGAGGTAAGAGTTGAAGTGAGAATTATCACTGTATTAAGATACTTACCTTTTATCTAAAGCTCGTAGCACCTTTGCAAAAACTTCTAGTTCACAAAATTCACTACCCAGCTGGCATAAGCGACCCTGTTGGTAAAGCTGAAAGAAAAGTATAAATATATTTTAAAATCTGAGTGTTTCTGGGTATTTTAGCTTAATAGTAAAGATGACTTAGGATGAAATCTAGACTTCAATGTATTGAAATACAGCAGACTAAGCAGTAATAGTTCCACGACCCCCACAGAGGAGCACTACTTTAGAGTTTAAGAACTGAGCACACAAGCTATGGGAGCTCTGTAGGCAGTTTCAACCTGCTTTTATCCACAAATGTATTTTCGAATGTCTGTGTCCACCCACATCACAGAACGCTGCAACACCTAAGCTAGAAAGCCAAGACAAAACCAAAAAAGTCCTTGAGTTCGCAAAAAATACAATGAATAGCTTCTTTGATATCAAATGTTTTGAAAACATTTTTTTAAATGACACTGTATCTAGCATCCAGCACTGCAAATACATTTTATATTATATAAAAATATAGATAAATAGCCCCCAAACCCACAAGTTCTGCAAGGGGTGACTTGCCAATAGCCAGAGCTAAAGCCAGCCATGAGCCCTGCCCCCATTTAATACCTGAGCTTACACAAATAATTCCTGCATGAGTAAGTGGGAAAACTCAAGTGAATCTGTTCATGCATTTGTTAAAAACAATAGCTAGTTTTATGCTCAAACTGATTTGTGTCTGCAGATAAGCAAATATATCAGTTGATTTGTTCATAAAAAAAAAACCCCACCATGGAGACAGTTCTTTATGCAACACATAGTTTAGTTGCAGAACTATCTGCCACATTATGCTATAAATACTGAGAATTTACATAGGTACAGAAGTGACTGTACAAATATACGTCAGAAAAATCCACTGCAGGCTATTAGTTGCGGGTATCTCGAAGCCCCTGAACCACAAATGACTGAAGTTGGGGGGTGTAACCTAAGGAGGCACCACTATGCCCTCGCCAGCCTCTGCTAGAGGCACCGTGCTGGATGACAGGACTGCTGCAGTACAACTTTTCCTTATTTTAGGTGTTCTAGAGAGAGGGGGGGGAAAAAAAAAAAAACAAAAACAAAAAGCAACAACAAAACTGAAGCCACACACACGCAGAGTCTTGTGGGCACATCTTGAGAAGCTGCACCCTTTGACCCGAGCCACACGAGATCCAGTCCTGCTCTTCTGCAGTACCCGTGCTACACAACACCCAGATCCAAAACCTAAGGGTCACCAGCAGACACAAACCAGGTGACACACCCGAGTTTCACACCATCATGAGGATGCAGGTAGAGCACCGCTGTGTTCCACTCAACAGCTGTTCAGACACCCCTGATTTCTAGACGGTATGTGGAGATGCTCAAACATACACTGGTCGTACCTAGAGCACGGCCCGCTGCGCCGTCTGAGCTGGTTTTACAGCTATGAGGAACTTTGTCACGAGGAGGACACCTACACTTATTACGTAAGCAAAAGCAAGGCCAAGAGAACACATTATTTAGAGATGTTCCATTACAAACTCTGATTTAATGAAAACGTTAATATTCCTCTCGGATGTAATAATTTCTTTTACAATTTTTATTGATAAGCATCTTATGTCCGGTTCACCTTTTTCTTCATAAACATTAGAAGCAGATGAATTCGTGTTCAAAACAAAGCATGTGAGAACCATCTCTTCCAGCCAGAAATTTAGTTTTGGTCAACTCTTCTTATAAAAGCACATGACACTGATTCTACAGCACGGCAAGTTTGTTATTTTAACAACAGAATCTACAAAAAAACCTTCAAAAACCACTTTGACCTAATAATGTCAGTTGCCAGAAATGAATGTTTTCCTTTTAGTCATCTATTTTGCCGGGGAAAAAGAAAAGGGAACTCTTTTTAAAAAACAGTGCAAGTTTGCATGCAGAATTACTCCTCAGATAACACAGTGCCATGCCCCCGTACTTCAAAGGGACTGGAGTTTCTTCTGAAGCTATATTCTCCCCGGCAATGAAAGAACATCCAGTCTGGTGTATTTAAAAACCACAGTCATGGTTAAACGTGCTCATTTTCTTCAACACAGCTGCCTAATGGTAACTGTTCTATAAAACCTAAAACGTATTTTCTGCAATAAAAAAAAAAACAAACCACAAGGTGATTAGATCTCGCCTAGTATTCTATTCCAAAACTGAAGGTGGACATCTTATCAATAATTGATGAGATCATTTCTGGAAGAAGCTAAGACTCAAGCTATTTTACCAGGATTTAACACAATCAAAAGTACAATCACACGTTCAACAATTAGGTTTTCAATCAAGTACATTATCACTTCCTCTCATCACCTTGCTAACTAAAAATCCCGGAGATTACTCTGATACCCGTTTAGCAACTACTAACTGTAGTATGACTTTTTTAAATTAATGTTTTATGAGGTTACATAAACCCATCATGTAATATGCCCACTGTTACATGTGATTCTTAAAATTGCTAATGAATCAATGCCCTGGTTGGGTGGGAAGGAGGGGGAGGTCCCAAACTGCCCCCTCAATTTTGATATATCAATTATTTCAGACACATGTAAAATTGGGCTTACAGCCCAAAAGTCCAAGCCTGCTCTTGGCCCATCTCCTAGCCCAATTCAAAGGTTAACATCTGCACTGTTCTGGCATGCAAAACACCCCAACCTATTTTTTGACTGGTATAACCAGAAATACAGTATCCTTAGGACATTTACCACACTATTCACCCCTTCCCTCGACATACTGGCAAACATTTTTAAGGAACTAACTCAGCGTGAAGTCTCTTGAAACTGTTGTAGCTGTTACAGCAATATTTTCAAACAAAATTTGACATGGAAATAGTGAGTATACGTCAAACTGTGAAGCAATTCCAGGAGATGCAGTAACACTCATTTGTCCATTGAGAAGCAGTTGCGAGGACTGAAGAAATGGTTCTCTTGTTAAAGCTCTAGAGAGAGAAAATTCCTGACCACAAGCCTTGCTACATAACACAAAAAACAAAACAAAATAGTGATTCAAGAAAAACATGCCCCAACAAGAATGGCAGAGGTTTGGACTTCTGAGGAACTATTCTTTTCTTAAGAAACAAATGTCTTTTAGACACAAACTTAACCTATTTGGAGCTTAACAGAGATTTTTATTTTTTTTTTTAACAATGGAAAAATGACTAAAAGCCTGCAATAGGACTTCCAACTTCACCAACTCACAGTGACACGTTAATTCTGGCTCTGAAGACAGGCGCCGAGGCAGAAGTTCAGTATAGAGGTGTGTTATTATACACACGCACAATCAAACTGTTGCACAGCTGTGAGAAAACCACCATGATCCTCACTCAGGATCTAAGGCTTAGTATTAAACTCCTAACACACTCACCTAAACATTCAAAAGCTGCATGTGGTGGGGTCCCCAATTAAACACATTAATAACATTGACTTGTAACTTATCTATGATATCATCACATACATGTAATTCTATTAAAGTTCTTGTCAGATTTCTCTCTCTGGATGAAATAAACTGAGCTCTAACTGCTTCCTAGCAAACCCCTGGAAATAAAGACAAAGATACATTAAACTGCTAGCAAAAGCAAAGCTGTCGCACAAGAGAAAAAGCTACACAATATTTGTATCACTAGCATTCTGGGCTGTTTCACTGTGCACAGGCACAAAAGACTTTCTAAACCTCACAAAAAAAAAAAGAAAAAAATATTTTTTTAAAGCAGCTGGAGATTAATTCTAACCAGTTGTAAAAGGACCCTCTAGAAGAGGAATTGCAGCATACGCAATTTGAAAAATATGCTCCTACTGCTCCAGTTTGGAAGAGGACAGAAAAATTAATATGGATATTTCAGTAAGAATTAAAGATACAAACAATTCCAAGGAGCTCCACCAGCATGTTTAGTAACGTCTAGTAATGTGGAATATCATGCCAAATTCGGGAAGGACTGCATACTTAATCAGTATTTGGGAAAAAAGTTTGGCTGTAACCACAATCTTCCTTCCCTACTTAACAAGGAAGGAAAATGTTTCCTCAGAGTCAACACTGCACCACATCAATCTGTTGACAAATGACTCATTATAGATGGAGTGTGTGGGGGGGGAACAGCCTCAGAAAATAATCAGTTATCAATATAGGTACCTTCAATTCTTTTAAATCAGTTTCAAAACTATCTACAAAGCCTCTGGACAAGCATTAGTTTAATTGGGTATTGTTTAGGGCATTAAAAAAGAGCAAACTTTACAGCTCTTCTTTGAAAACATATTGCCAATTACCAGGCTGATCGTTAAGAACCTCAATCAAATAAATAACCAAGAAAAACCACCCAAACCTCATTGGATAAGTCTAACTTCAGCGATAACTTTTGAAGCCTACTGCTTTCACACACAGCACACTTCTTCACATCTTCCCACTCACTCCACTTTATCGTATCAGCAAAGTTTTTTATTTCACATCTACACAGAGTCCAGCACAAGGGATACGAAGTCTGAGCCTTGCAGCCACCACGAGTATCATTCTCCGCAGCAGTAGACGGGGAAACCCAGTTTGCTCTAAAGTTAAATCAGTACAGAGGAAATGAAATGGAAATAGGAAATAGGGTTTGAGCAGGAGCTGAACCTCTGTTCATAATGTGACCTCATTATCTGAATTACGAACTCTAATGTCCAAGATTCAACAAAGATGCTGAGAAAAAAGGGGAAACTAGAGCACATCAGGATTAGAAAACGTGCTCCACAGCTAAGAGGTTCAAAAAAAAACCAGACTGGGTAGTATGAGTTAGAAGAATGATAAGCAAAGCCAAGAAGTTTCAAACCAGTAAAAACATAACAAGGAAAGATAGTTCAGTTCTAATCTAAATTTGGACTACAGAAATAAGGCATGTATTAAAACAGAGTAACTGGACAAAACTCATGAAGCGATGATTCTTCTTCACTGTGAGGCTTTAAGAAGCGGGCAATACAGGGATGTGATTTAATTCAAGCAGCAAAGGCCAACCGCATGTGCTACTTGAAGTCTAACCAGATGATCAGAGCGGTTGTACGTGTGTGTGCGCACACACGCGGAAATCA